ACTAATAAAATAATTCGAAGTGGTCTCTGTATTCTGTCGAAACTGCTAGAAGCGGATCGCGATTTCGATCTTTTTGGATCTCATCAGCGCGTCGCAGGCAGCTCCGACAGAACACAGACGTCGTATTTTCTAAAACGCGCTGTTAAGACAGCAGGTAGAAGTTGGCCTGTGTTCTGTCGGAGCTGCCTGCGACGCGCTGATGAGACCCAAAAAGATCGAAATCGCGATCCGCGTCTGGCAGTTTCGACAGAATACAGAGATCACTTCGAATTATTTTATTCGATTATGGTAACGTGCCCACCACGTTGAGGTGAGCTACGCCGGGATTCGTTTGAACAAGTAGATATCCATATATTTAAATGGACCTTGTTGAAACATACGTAATCCTAAAATGTAGCACTGCACTACAGATGGCGTTTACAGCGCCATTTGTCGTATTTTCTATCAAATACTAAACGCACTTAAAATAACTTTACTTCATATTAGGTTTTTATACAGAGGGTAAGATATATTATGTAGAGTTTATGCGATTTATGTGCGGTTATTTTGAGTCATAAAAATCATTTTTATAGGGTAAGAAAAGCCGAACGCCCGTCCAGGAATATACAGTTGGATTTAGAACGTACGTATTTAGATAACAACTTTCATAAATTCAAAGACGTAGCCCTGGGGAGGGAAGTGGCAGACAAAGGCGAATAAAAATGACGCTCCGCTTCTTGAGGAAACAGACTTATCTTCATTTCATTTCCGGCTTCGTAATTTCCCTTACAGCCACTACTCTCTATTCTTAAATGGAATGTGCCATTTTAGTATACGAAACAGTCGCACTCGTCGAAATGAGAAATTTTGTTTAAATAAGTTTTTCATAACCCTCTCTTAAAAATTGGTTTGTTTTGGTTTTTGTACCTCCCCCACCGAGAGAAACTTTTCCTATACCGCCTTTCTCTTCCCCTTGCTTTTATGTAGCCGCTAGCATGCCACAGATTACTAATCCGACATTATTTATATTTCACCCTCTGTATTTTGATTTCTAATTTTGTTTCCTATAAGGTGTAATGGTAATGGTGTAATTCTACCAATTACTGTCGCCAAATAAGTAAATCCATTTCATTGTAGAGATTTAATATCTGAAAATTTACACTAAATGGAGTGTATCGTCATTTCATTTAGTGAAACACGACAATTCGTTCAGTAAGTACATATTCATCTCATCATCTCCCCATCGTCAGTCCTACGATTGGTTGGACACGCGCCTCCACTCTTTACTATCCCAATCAAATTTTCGCATTTCCTTAAAACTGGAGCATCTCACATCCTTAACTATTTGTGAACAGTTATCTAATCTAGGTCTACCTCTGCTCCTCTTAGCTCTGACTAGCCCTTCATACCGGAGAACTTCCACAGAATCCTCTGTTCTCCTATTCTTTCTAATACCTCTTCGTTTCTAACCTTCTCTATCCACAGTATCCTCATCATTTGCCTGTAACACCATATTTCGAACGCTTCTAACCTTTCCTTTTCCGTGTTATCTGACTTTCTTGTCCTGCATACCGAAAATTAGCCACTTCTTCTAATTTTGCGCCTCCTATATTTATTCCCTATTTCTCTACTTCCCCTCTCTTGCATAATTACTTGTCATTCAATACTGTTTTGTCAATACCGTTTCATATATTCGAAAAAATGTTCCTGGTCGATTATTTGCACAGTCTTATCAAAATGAGTTCTCTTTAAACAAACCTACATGTTATCAGGTGTAAAAGTGAATCAACTTTTTTTATTACATATACCCACTTCCTGGACTTATAGTCCAGTTTTTCTCAATAAACCGGTTCCATTTGGTTTCACATTTATGAGCTACATTTGTTTCGATTTTTGCCACATGTGTTCTCACACGCAACTAAACGCTCGATTTTATTATCTAATATAAGAAACATTTTGAAATATGACATGTTGCCTGTTGCAACACGAGCAATATTGTCGTGCCGTATGGGCTTTGTGTTGTTGACTTTTCGTTTTTATTGCTTATTGAAATGGCCGAGTTTTAATTTTCACTTTATAAATCAAACAGGGTGTAAAACTGTAATTTTTGCGCCAGAGCTAAGATAGCAGAAACTGCAGTAGCAGCTGTGTCGCGACGCTGTGGACGTAAGGAGATTTATTGGTCGAATTTCCTCGACTGGTCGAGAGACCGTCTCAACAAAGTCAAAATTTACGAGACCGCAAAAACATTGTGCTGCATAATTTCACCCTCGTCTTAATTTATTGTGTTTTTAAGGGGAAATTTATGTCACGTCTAGTTAAGAGATAACAAAAATCGGGGCTGTTTGTTTTTATTGAAACGGAGACGCAAGTCAAATTAGGAAGGCGAACCCTTTAATAAATTATTGAATATATCTATTAGTAACGCATGCTGCATGTGCGGGATGGACTTCGCTTTACTAAATTGACACAACCTAATATAATTTAAAAAAGTAATTTTATACGTACATAACGAATTTTGGTTTTGTTTCTAAAAAGGATGTTTGTACCAAATTGGGAAGGCGAACCCTTTAGTAAACTATTGGACGAAAACATTGCTTAAAATAGTCCTTTTTTGTCGAATAATAATTTATAACGGAAATCGTCCACGTTAATATCAGTCGAAAATCATTTGATAATTGACATTCGGACCTAACTTCCCGTCAAAAAGCTTAGCTAGAATTATGCAGACAAGGATGGAAAAAAGGGCGGAAGAACTATCAGGGGATCAATTTGAGTTTAGAAGAAATAGAGGGACGCGGGAGGCCATTCTAGTTTTACGGTAATAATAGAGAAAACGATAGAAAAAGGAAAGAGCGCGTACATAGGATTTGTAGGTTTAGAAAAAGTTTTTACTTTAAATATACTTAAGAATGTAGGGATGAATTATAGAGATAGAAGAGTGATATTTAGTTTGTAAGAAGAGCAACAAGCAGTTATAGAGCTGGAGCAGCAACGTAGAGAAGTAAATATTAAGTCAGGCAAGGATGCACACTATCGCCGCTACTTTTTAATCTACACATCGAAGGCGCTATCAACATCATTAAAGACAGTATAACAGTAGGGGTAGATGTAGAGAGGCAAAAGATTAGTATGCTCAGATTTGCAGATGATATAAATTATAAAATAAATAAAAGTAAAACAAAAATACTGGCATTCAAGGGAAGAAAAAGTAGGAAAAGAGCGAATGTAAAGATAGGAGACGAATGATTACAAGTGACTGATTTTAGGTATCTAGAAAGTCAGATAAGTGAGGTTGGAAGAAATCACTTTATGCTCACGAACGATTAATTTAGAAATTCGAAAAGGATTGTTAAAGGTGTATGTTTGGAGCGCGGCTCTGTATGGGTAAAGGAAAAACAAGGTTAGAAGCGTTCGAAATGTGGTGTTGTCGGCGAATGATGAGGATATCGTCGATGGAGATGTTAGAAATGAAGAGGTATTAGAAAGAATATGAGAACAATAAAAGTCATTAAACAATAGGCGAGATAGGTTGGTAGGACACCTTCTTAGGCATGAAAGTCTACTCAGAGATGTATTAGAGGCAGAAACAGAAGTTACGAGGAGTAGATGTAGATCTAGATTAGATTACTATTAGCAAAGGATGTGGGATGTTCTAGTTTTAAGAAAATGCGAAGATTAGCTCAGGATAGGAAAGAGTGGAGCTGCGTGTCCAACCAGTCTTAGGACTGACGACCTTATAATGATGACAATTTAAGAAAATCAAGTTACTTCCTTCTTCTGGAGCAGTAGTGAAAAAATGGGACCTGCCGATAAATCCCGGTTCAGATTTCTTGATGAAAAGTATCGTTAATAAATCATTGATGAGAATTTCCCGTTTAATTTTTGGCACTAATAAATCACGTAAATTGATCCAATAATAATTTGGTAATAATACGGTGATAAATCTTAAAAGGTCGCTTGAAAATACGACTGAAGACATCCGCAGGCGTTCCAAAGGTTGCGCTGTGATAAAGAAATTGTGCGTTGGATTTCAGTAATAAATTATCAAACTCCCGTCAATGATTGCTTTTTGCAAAACACCTGCGGCAGTGAAGATTAGGTAGTAAGAAGGTTTGACAACATTATCGGTCGTTACTTTAAATTTGTCTATTAGGTATCTAAATTTTTAATCCTTTTAAAATTGTTTCTTTTAATCTTCTTCTTTTCTACTTATTAATCTTTATCGGTCATTAAAAAGTCTATTACTTTTATTAAAGTTTTAATATATTAAAGCGAGTTAATTTTTATCGCTATAGATAACCTCAAATTAATGAGAATTTTTTTTACTGCAGTCACGCCCTCGCCGGGAATCGAACCCGATTTCTTGGCTTTACATTGCTCTACCATTAACCTGCAAGAATTGACATTTGTCTTTATTAATTTGACGTTATCTGTAGCAGCAATTCAAAAATTAATTCACTTTAATTAGGTACTTCATTCCTTTATTTGTGTCGTTAAAAGTAATGAAAGAATCATTTCTCAAAATTAAAAAAGAAAGGAATGTAGCTGACCCTATTAGACTTAATTTAACTCCATATGCATATACTTCAATTATTTCAAATATTTGTTCCTTCGTTTGTGTTGTTTTTTCTACCGTGTCTTGTTTATGATCCTAAGAACTAATTTTGTCAAACTATATTTCAATTTCAATCTACAGTTAATGTGAATTCTGAAAAAAAAGTCGTTACATGGGGCGGGAATAGAACACGCGCAACTGAAGTGTCATTGGCTTCTAAGGGCGAACGGTTCACCACTGAACCAATCACATGTTTTATCCGAATCAATGGCAATTCAACACCTAACACTCTAATGTTTCAAATTTTTCTTTTGCGTTGCTCCCATCGTCCATATTTTACACCAGTCGAAAGTCATGTTCCAAACATACACATTTATTTTTTGTTTCCATTGTCCACTTATTAAAAATTAATGACATTCGTGTGTGTAACCAAAAAAAAAAGAGAAAAGTAATTTTGTCTTACCTGTCAAGTTTCGTATCCCAGGGAGTGTAACCATCAATCGAACAACAAGTGACGTAGCTCCTTGAGGTCCAAGACGTAATCTTTCGGTAACATACAATAGGCCATTGCTTATGAATTGGGCGCCTTCACTTAAAGCCAGCAATGCTGTAACCTGCAACAGAATCCGAATCTACAATAACTATAATAAACGTAAAGAAATGTTTTGGTTGTTTTGCGGTAGTTATTATTGTACAGTTTACAACGGCAGCAATTTTTATTAAGGGTTAAAAGCGGCATTGACTTTTATATCATGCAATATTTGCCTAATGTCTATTTCCTTTTCGCTTTATATTGTGTTTTATTTCGAAGCAGTTAAACGCGCCAATAAATGTTTACGACTTGTTTCGGAGGCATTTCGATTGTAAAATTTTATTTCGAAATAGCGAACATGTAGAACAATGTAACAGATTGTTGCTTTTTTATCTTGTTTTATATGTAATACTTTTGGTTACTGCCATCATACAAAAATAAAACTGGAATTTAGTTAATTTCTTTCGAATTACGTATATTCCTGTTGTCGAAAATACTTTTGTTTGTGGATAGAATGCTTATTGTAGGTGTCGATTATAGAGGCAATGCATTTTTGGTATTCATTTTCTGATTTCAAAAATACTACAAATGGCGCGGTAAACGCCATCTGTAGTACCATGCTACATTTTAGGATTACGTATGCTTCAACAAGGTCCCTTTAAATATATGGATATCTACTTGCTGAAACGAATCCCGGCGTAGCTAACCTAAACGTGATAGGCACGTTACCATAATCGAATAAAACAATTCGAAGTGGTCTGTATTCTGTCGAAACTGTCAGACGCGGATCGCGATTTCGATCTCATTGGATCTCATCAGCGCGTCGCAGACAGCTCCGACAGAACACAGACCAACCTTTACCTGCTGTAAAGTAGTAATCCTAAAATGTAGCATTGTACTACAGATGGCGTTTACCGCGCCATTTGTGGTATTTTCTAAATCGCGCTGTTAAGACAGCAGGTAAAGGTTGGTCTGTGTTCTCTCGGAGATTGAAATCGCGATCGGCGTCTGGCAGTTTCGACAGAATACAGACCACTTCGAATTATTTTATTCGATTTTCTGATTTGTTTAATAAGGCCCCATAGCCGCTAAATGTTACTTAAGTAATAAAGTGCTAAAGGATTATAAAAACATTATCCCTTTTTCTTAAAGTCTAAGTGCTTACAGAATACTGTTAAAAATTAATATCAACAATCCCAGACACTTCCTACGGCGGTATTATCTGCTCTAAAGTTCGCAAAAAAAATGTAATTTTGCTTATAGTTTGAGTCTTGTAAACAGCCAGACCAATTGTAGGGGTCAAACACCTCCCACACACAGCGATATTTTAATTGTGTTTGATGGATGTTTGACCCCTACAATTGGTCTGGCTGCTTAAAAAAAGTATCATATTGAAAACAGTTAAAAACATTCTGCTTTTTGGTTATTTAACTACTTCACTTCTTGATATCGGTAACAATTGTGCAAAATAAACAAATTTATCCTTTCAACTATTACCAATTTAGGGGGTGATCAGGGTAATTATCAGATGCGAGAGTAATTTTATTGGACGAGCGCAATTGCATAAAGTTGACACTGAGATAAAGGTAATATACATTCACTTTTACTTTATTTCGAATGGAATGATCATCATCATAACGTCGTCAGTCCTAAAACTGGTTCGTAACGCAGCTCTACTCCACTGGGATAATCTTCGCAATTCCCTAAAACTAGAACATCCCACAACCTTGCGTACAGTAATCTAATTTAGCTCCTGTTTCCCTTTTTAATATGTCTGTGACTAGCCCTTCATGCCTGAGAAGGTGTCCTACTAACCTAGAGTCCTCTGTTCTCCTATTATTTCTAATACCTCATCCTTCTCTTCCATGATATCCTCATAATTCGCCTGTAACACCACATTTCGAAAGCTTCAAACTTGCACCCGTACAGTGCCGCGCTCCAAATATACACCTTTAACAATCTTTTTCGAATTTCTATATTGACCAATAAGTAATGAAAACATTTACATCATCTAATATTAAAAGCACCCTGTATATATCCGTAAATGTATTGTTATTTCGTTTGAACGGGAATTAATTTATAAGATTACTAGCGACCCGCCCCAGCTTCGCACGGGTGCAATGCTGATACTAAATATATATTTGTTTTGTTTAGATTATTATCGAGGAGGGGAAATCTTCAAAAGACACCCCCTGAACATACTAAATATACTACAGATTGTCTTTATATACAACATTCACAGTTTAGACAATACAAACCGGCCTTCCGATACCGCCGCAACCGCTATGTCCCTGCATTTTAAATCTGTAATTTCTTCGAAAATATTCATTCAAATTACATGCTGCCACATTGATCTATATTAAATGCAAAATGTATTTAAAAGTACCTACTTAATTGGATAAGGATTAATACTGTATTGTTAAAAATCGCTTCGTAAATAAGTCATTATTTCTCATAAAAAGTAAAAGATAAAAAATGGTTATTGTGGGTTATCTCTAAGAGATAGACATATACCATCGCGGATTTTTTGTAGATCTTTTTAAGATGTACAATACTGTAGTACATTATTTCGATCTCGTAGGGTTCAGCCAAGGTTTGCAATGTAAGCGCAAAAAAATGTGTTTACGACATCACATTAGAAACCTCTAAAATTATCAGTATTTCGGTACTATATTATGCATGTATTATACATATAAACCTTCCTCTTGAAGCACTCTATCTTTTAAAAAAAACCGCATCAAAATCCGTTGCGTATTTTAAAGATTTAAGCATACATAGGGACAGACAGCGGGAAAGCGTCTTTGTTTTATACTATGTAGTGAAGTACCACATGTGACGAAAAAGTTGTATCAGTTAATTATTTGGACGGTAGTTGAGGTGCGCCCATAAAATGTTATATAACACAACAGAGGAAATACTTAACAACCTTATTTTACCATTCCAGATAAAAATTTGAAAATTGCATTAAAACGGAGTATAAATTGAGGTATTACTGTATATATTTGATTTCTATTTACTTACATCCATGCAAGTGTTAAGATTGTTGACAATTTTGATGTCCACCTCGACGGTTTCGCCGACCCGGAGATTGGCGGGTAAACGAAAATCTGTTTGCAGTGGTCGGAAGACAGTTAAACTAATTGGTGGTGAGAATTGCAACCCTTCCTGAGTAACCGCGATAGCCCAGAGGGACCATTCTCCAGCTTGTTCCGGGGTTGTCAAACCCAAATCGAGAGACGATATCTCTTTGCTGTAACAACAAATAGAAACGTTTGTTTATGGATCGTTTTGTAAATTTCAAACCTTAAATGACCACACATTGCATTGTAAAAATTCTATCACAAGCTATCGGATGTAATGATAATCGATAAGAGTTATGAACCAAAAATCATACAGGATATGTATACTTCATTTACATTCTCTAGCGATGTGCCCCTTCCAATGTCTTGGATGCGCGCTGGCAAAATCGTAGGTCGAGAGAAAAAAGCTCATTATACTATCGACTCTTGTTCATTAAATATATTTTTTCATACAGTACCTGCTAAAAGTTTTGTTCAATCATGAATAGTAGTGCGAGTTTAAAACAAGCTTTAAAGCCTTTAATATGTCTTGAAATATACATAAATATCTCGTTGATATTTTCAGTAGTCATTGGTACCAATAACAGCACATTTGAGCAATGCAATTGTAATGGATAAAATGGTCAATTTTTCCGTGCAGTACTGTACGGATTATACGCTCCTCACCGGTTATGAGTTTGGCCGAGAGTTGTCTCCTTTCTTTTTTGACCTAGTGTCGTTCGTTTCTACTTTGCGCCGGTCAAACTGAAGGTCACATCGCTACGGAAACTAAACGAAATATATACTTCATTTACTTTCTCCAACGATGTGCCCCTTCCAATGTCTTGGATGTGCGCTGGCAAAATCGTAGGCAGGGAGAAAAAAGCGCATTATACTCTTGACTCTTGTTCATTAAACATACTTTTTCATACAGTACCTGCCAAAAGTTTTGTTCAATCATGAATAGTAGTGCGAGTCGAAAACAAGCGTTAAACCCTTTAATATGTCTTCAAATATAAATAAATATCTCGGTGATATTTTCAGTAGTAATTAGTACCAATAACAGCACATTTGAGCAATGCAACTGTAGTGGATAAAATGGTCAATTTTTCCGTGCAGTACTGTACGGATTATACGCTCCTCACCGGTTAAGAGTTGGGCGAGAGTTGTCTCCTTTCTTTACTGGCCTAGTGCCGTTCTTTTCTACTTTGCGCCGGCTAAACTGAAGGTCACATCGCAACAGAAACTAAACGAAATATACCTATTAATTAAAGTTAATTAGTTAGAGTTTGTTCTCACCTGTAATTAAAACATTTCCAAAGCCATAATTCATCTACGCGACTTGATCCAATGAGACTCTCAGATAATTGTTTGTTATTAAAGCTTTCGAAAGTGTATTGTTTTTGAGTTTCCATAGACGTTAACCTTGCATCTGTAGAACATCTATCTTGGGAAAATGTCAAACCAGTTTCAAGAAAATCAGACTGCTCTCTAACCGATTTTGAAATAGTTTCTTCACTACAACAGAGACGAAATGAGAAAATTATTTCAATATATTTTTATGTAGCGATAAATAATTGTAATTTCGACAGCGAGTGTGACGAAATTGTACCAAAATTTTTCGAAGAATTGTCATATTCTTTTGTTAAAATGATAAATTACTTTTATAATTAGTAACGACTACGGTAAATTTACCGTATTCAAAACAAAAACTTTGCCCGGTTAATTTAATCTTGAAGCCGGGGAAAATTGGATTATTCCGAAACTGAGAAAGTAATCTTGTTAAGTCAATTACTAACCTTTTGTGCGGGTTAAATCGAATGTCGTTGCCCGTGCCAGAACGTCCTCCTAAAATGCAAACTACCGAAGACTCCTCGACCGACACATCCAGGTCAAGATCCTGCTCCGGGAGCCACCATTCCCTGTCTTCGATTTTAATTTGAATCTACAGAACGACATTGAAATAGTCAAATAAAACTTTCAAACGCAGTTCACGTTCTAGTACAAGGAACAATCAGAGAGACATTTAATTGAGTAAACTAGGTCGCAGCGAAACGATTAGTTAGAGTGGAATTACAACTTTTTCAAAAATAAACAAAAAGTAGCATATAAAACGATGACGTTTGTTAATTGGAGGCAAAAATATAGTGATGAGCAAAATTGATCTTGATCTTGGATCTTGCAATATTGGTTTTAGCTTTACGAAAATTCAAAAATCAAAACTGTCTTTGTGACCAAGACTATGACTAAAAGTAATAGCGCACACGTAAGACCAAGTCCAAATTCGCAACACTAAACGAAATTATTATCTCCGATAGTACTGTTAAATTTCACAGGCAGATATTCGGGAACTTACTATTGTAAGTGGAATATCAGCACACGCGTTAAATTAATAAGGCGTGTTGTTTAATTCTTTGGTGGAAGGTAGAAAAAAATAGAACTCTTGCAGCGAAGTCGACTTAATTATATATTTACAAATATTTACAGAGTATCTCCAACTAATGATTCATTATGATTAGACAAGTGCAAGTGCTCTTGCGTTTTGTGCTGACTTAGTTCAAGTGCTTCTTTTGAAGTCCTTGGTCACATCTTATATCTACAACTTAAAAACTAGGAACAAATGCCAAGGGTGTGGCGAATGGCACCATTGGTGATTGACCCTTTAAAACAACTTTGTGGAAACGTACAAGGCGGGGCTTTCAAAACTCAAAATATGTGGAAAGAGGGAAGTTTACAATCTGAGAAAAGATCGGCACATCAAGAAATCAACAAACGGTACTTTTAACCGTTAGGCTCATAAAAAAACACCCCATAATAAACTTGAAACTAAATTGGTATCGTAAAGGATCCTTCTTCAACAGTTACCTCTATAAACTAATTTAAACATTGTACCGATGCATCTAAGGGTCTACTACCAAATAAACACCATACCGCCTTGTAAATTTGCAAACATTCTAAAAACTGAATGCAGGAAGAACTTTATGACCTGCATCAAAAAGGTCGGTCTTGACTCTGAACAGTCATAAACTGTTGAATTTGATAAATTTAACCTCAATCCGATCTCACGTGTTGTTATTCGCCGGTTTACAACAACTAATGCCTTTATCGCGTCTTTATCAGCTTCAACCGGCCTTCCCGAACGTGGTGCATCTTCGACATCAANAAACTTTTTTTTTTTTTTGGTATTTTTGTAGTATTTTATTTTTCACTAAAAGGCCAATTTATGCATTGAAGGAAAAGCAAGTTGTCGAGTTTTCATAATTCATACAGCTATCGACACCATTTTCTTTAAAAATCATGAAAAGCTGACAAAATATTTCACTATATTTGCGACAATTATTGTTTCGTGGAAATGCGACTTGTAACTTTGACAAGAGCTCAATTTCTCTAATAAACTTTTCAATGTTTTTTAACCGTATATTATCCAAAAAAACTATATACAAACTTAAGGAACACTTAACAATTAACACTTAGAAGAAGAAGAAGAATTAATTTAACGACATAACTTAGCTAGGATAGATAAAATTTGAGGAGACTTTACGAGAGCTTTTCGAACACTTGTTTTTGTACTAAAAAAAAAAAAAAACTTTTGGGTGTTTCATTCCCACCAGCCAGTAATGCCGCACAACTCAATTTATAGAGTTCGACCAAAATGGGGTAGGGGTGGTACCGCCACCCTCATCTCTTTTACCGAAGACACTTTGATGATAATAATAATAATAAGGTTCTAGGACTTTGCGCGAACAATTATTGTGTAGCCAAAAAGAATCATTTATGCTTAGTATCAGATTAAAAGAGTAAGACCAAGACATAACACGTAATACTAAGACCGAGAGTGTATCGACAAGATCAATACCAAGACTGAGACTATATCAGCAAATCCAAGTCCAAGATTACGACTAAAAGTATTTGAACTAGACCAAGACCAATACCAATACGGAGGTTGGGATAGTCCTGATGTCGGTCTTGCTTTACTCATTACTACACAGAAACAGGTGTCCCTAGAAAATATTGGTTAACTTTTTATTGTATTAAGATGATAATACGAGGTCTGTTCAAAAAGTATCGGGAATTTTGAATTTCCGAGGGTTACGTATTTTCGATTTTTTTGTGACGTTATGTTGGTACTCATGCCTCTCACTTATACTGACAATTTTGGTCATGTTAAATGTTTAATTTTTCTTAGCTGCTTTGCTGACTCGTCTTCAATTTTTCCCTATTCCAAAAATGGATCAAAGAATCTGTATCAAATTTTGTGTGAAAAACATAATTAAGCGCACTTACGCATTCAGAATGTTAACTGTGACATATGGTGAAGCTACCATGAACAGAAGCAACGTTTATCGGTGGTACAAAATGTTCTCAGAGGGCCGAGAAGAAGTGAGCGTGCCGAACGCTCGAGCACGTCATCAACAAACCAAAACATTGATGAAGTGAAGAAAGTAGTGTTGGTCAATCGTCGAATCACCATTAGAGAAGTTGCTGAGGACCTAAACATATCGATGCGCTCTTGCAATTCAATTTTTACCAATAATTTGGGCATGAGGCGGGTTGCCGCGAAATTCGTACCAAAATTGCTCAATTTCGACCAAAAACAGTATGGTATTAACATTGCCTAGGAGCTGTTGGACTCTGTCCGCGACGACCCAAATTTTCTCTAGAGAGTCATAACTGGTGACAAATCAGAGGTTTATGATTATGACGTGGAAACCAAAGCTCAATCATCTATCTCAATGGAAACTACCGCACAAGCCAAGACCGAAAAAAGCACGCCGTGTTAGGTCGAACGTGAAGGTTTTGCTTACAGTTTTCTTTGATTGCAGTGGTGTGGTGCATCATGAGTTCTTGCTACAGAGTAGAACGGCCAATGGGGAATATTACGTACAAATTATGCACAATTTGCGCGAAGCAATTCGCTAGAAACTGCCGGATTTGTGGAAGAACAAAAATTGGCTTTCGCACCATGACAACGCTCTCGCTCATACATTGTTGCTTGAGCGTGAATTTTTGGTCAAAAACAGCACACTAATGATGCCGCAGCCATCGTATCCCAAATCTGGCCCCCTGTGACTTTTGTTTGTTCCCGAAACTGAAGAGACCCAAGAAAGGACGACGCTCCGCCACGATTGAGGAGATAGAGGCGGCATTGAAGAAGGGGCTGAACAAGATCATGAAGAATGATTTTTTGGAGTGCTTCAAGGATTAGAAAGAACGTTGGCACAAGTGTATAACATTACTTTGAAAAGGACAAAATAGATTTTCATGAATAAATAAATAATTTTTGAAAAAACACAAAATTTGGGATACTTTTTGAAAAGACCTCGTATATACTCAACTATATGGTAGAATGTTTTCGAGTCGGTGTCGATCACACATTCGGAGCGCTCACGTTAATGCAAATGTTTTTGGATAATGCCTAGTTCCCTCCCATATTCCTGTTTTTAATTAGGATTAAAATTTTTGGTATGCCGAATTCCCTTCTAATTATACATCAATTGCCTCCCAACGGCGGCGGATGACCTTGAGTGCTAATTGCCACTATAAAGTCATAAAGAGTTGTTTAAATAATACAGCCTCACATCACATATTAATCTTAATATTATTCATATATTATAGACACCACAATAACAATAATAATTTTATCAGACTACCCTTCTATTGGTCAAATACAAGACATACTAAAACTAATTTTTTAGGTGATTGCATCAAAAAGCTAGACGCTAACGAATTTCTAAACATTGAATTTGTTAAGGTAGTGAAAAAAAAATTTAAAATTAAATAAATAAACATTTCATAACTGATATATGTTTTCATTCTGAAATTATTTTATCTTTAATTTACTGAAGTGCTGAAGTGCACTATAAATATATATTTATTTTCGATAAATAAAATCAGTAAGTAAGAACGGGAGGGAACTCGGCTAGTACCCGGGAGGGAATTGGACTATTTATATTTTAAACAAAACTACCTGCGGGGGGGAATTCGGCATCACCGATTTATTTTATATCGAGTAATTCTTTTGTTCAATGTTATCATATCTTGTAGGCTGATCTTAGTGTATCTAATTGTTTTTGTTCGACAGATTTTCCAAAAAAAATACACCTATTATACAGTTGTTTGAAACACATTTGCTGTTACAATTTTAGTTTTACAAAAATCAAAATAACAAATAATCAAAACTAATTTGTTAATATTTTAATTATACCTCTTAGTTACTCCGTTAAATACAACAAGGTATAAGTATTAATTCTGGACAAAACAATAAGTTCTCTCTGTTTTTTTTGATTTGGATTCAATAAAAAGAAGTTACGTCGTCCATACAATTAATTTCGATTAAACAATTTGTAGGTGTAAATAACGTAGGGCATCTTGTATTCCATCATGTAATACTAAGGGAATAAGGACTGTAACTCAATTTCCTCTGTAATAACGTATTTCATATTAAAAGATGCTTGGTAAGGCATAATATAACAGGTCAATTGAAAAGTCCCCGGCCTAAAATAGTAAAACACATTTTTTTTGCAAAATTCGTTTTTTTTATTCAACATAATTCCCTTCAAGGGTGATACACTGATTATAGCGATCCTCCAACTTTTCGATACCATTTTTGTAGTACGATTTGTCCTTTGCTTCAAAATAGGCCTCAGTTTCGGCGATCACCTCTTCATTCGACGAAAATTTTTTCCCAACGAGCATTCTTTTGAGATCTGAGAACAGGAAGTAGTCGCTGGGGGCCAGATCTGGAGAATACGGTGGATGCGGAAGCAATTCGAAGCCCAATTCATGAATTTTTGCCATCGTTTTCACTGACTTGTGAGACGGTGCATTGTCTTGGTGAAGCAGGACTTTCTTTTTCTGCAAATGCGGTCGTTTCTCGGCGATTTCGTCCTTCAAACGGTCCAATAACGCTATGTAATAGTCGCTGTTGATGGTCCTTCCTTTTTCAAGGTAGTCAATGAAAATTATTCCACGCGCATCCCAAAATACAGACGCCATAACCTTGCCAGCCGACTGTTGCGTTTTTGCACGCTTTGGAGCGGGTTCATCGTGTGCAGTCCACTCCGATGACTGTCGATTGGACTTCGGAGTGAAATGATGGAGCCATGTTTCATCCATTGTCACATATCGACGCAAAAACTCGGGTTTATTACGCGTGATCATCTTCAAACACTGCTCTGAATCATCAACTCGTCGTTGTTTTTGGTCAAAAGTGAGCTCGCGCGGCACCCACTTTGCACAGAGCTTTCTCATACCCAAATATTCGTGAATGATGTGATGTATACGTTCCGTTGATATCTGTAGAGTGTCTGCTATTTCATTCAATTTCAATTTACGGTCATTCAAAATCATTTTGTGGATTTTTTTAATGTTTTCGTCCGTAACAGCCTCTTTTGGGCGTCCACTGCGTTCACCGTCTTCGGTGCTCATTTCACCACGTCTAAACTTAGCATACCAATCCTTGATGGTTGATTTTCCTGGGGCAGTGTCCGGAAATTCGTTATCAAGCCAAGTTTTTGCTTCAACTGTATTTTTTCCCTTCAAAAAGCAATATTTTATCAACACGCGAAATTCCTTTTTATCCATTTTTTTCACAATAACAAAAGTTGCTTCACTAAAAATGCTATAATTCACAAACTAATGATCCGACAGCCGTCAAATTTATAGACGCGTCTTTTGAAGGTTAGGACTAACTGAAAATCATATGGATTTAGTTCTGGTGCCACCATCTAAGTGTCAAGCCGGGGACTTTTCAATTGACCCTATACATATTATAATCGAAAACAGGCTAAGCGTCAAAAACATAAAAGGAAAACATGAATAATGTAAAGTGCATTATCGTAAAATGTAGTGGTACATATTCACACAAAACATTTAGTCCCCGTCAATTAATTAAAAAGAAGACCCATCCCTAATTACCGCAAAAACTTTTTCAAAATTATTATTTACCACAGTCTCCTTTTTCTACTTAGTCCCCCTCGTTTAAATAAACTCTTCACTATTGCCTATTGAAGTTGTTGATTTCATTGAATGTTAATTCTGTAAAATTTTTGCGATGTTGAAGTTTCTTTACCGATTTTACAAAGCATCCTCAGGATAACCTTCGTTTGGACGAATGTGTCGTGAAATCCGCGAAGAAAAGTTTCGTCTTTTAAACCCCCACAAAATCAACAATTTCAGTAATAGCCAGCAGTCGCGAAAGCTTTGCATTATTAGGGTTACTTACTGATTGTTCCTCGTATTTTGGAATATACCTAAAGTAAATGGTGTATGTGTTCTAGGGTATCGCAAAGTACCTTACCTTGTCGGAAATCAACTTCACGTTGAAACTAATGAAGTCACTTACGGGTTCGCCTTGCGGTGTAACGTAGTAAACGAGAAGTTGACTAATTGGAGCCATAACGCTTTTTACTGTGAAACTGAAAGAAATTCGGTACGGTTCACAAAGGCAAAACCACTTCTCAATCAATGACAAAGAGCGCCTTTTCTTTCAAGAACTTTCTTTCTTGTGCCTTGTTTATTTTTTATTTGCTTTCGACAGTTAAACTATACTGAACATTTTTCCGGTTTTAATAGATGTAAGTATTTAGTAGTTTTCCTTTTTGAGGTCGTGTCATTGTCATGTTTATAAAATCAAATAAGGAAAATAGCTTTTCTGCATTGAATTTTGTTTGTTTGGTAAAGCTAAAGTACTGAATGTTTTCAGTTTTAATAAATGTAGGTAGTATTTGTCGGATTTTCTTTTCGTGTTCGGTTGTTTTTTGAAATATATGTGGTATAAGAAAAATCGATCATCGCCAAATTAATAGAACGAAATGAAAAAATAGAGGGCGCGATAATAATGATCGGCATGTGTGTGTTGGGTGGGATAAAGTGGGTATTTCCAGTCTAAGCACCAAGATCAACGTAGATTGATTGCCTTCATTCAGGGGTTAAAGGAATATTTATTTATTTTTTTTTGAGAGGAAAACGGAATATATGTCAAGTGAAGGAACACTCTCAGTATCATCTTCATTTCTCGTTTCCAATTTCTATAAAAATTGCTGTACGTTTTTTTTTTGAAATACACTAATATATTGTACTTAATAATATTTTTAAATATACAAGTTCTTCCCCCCTATCAGTCACTTTGAGCTCGAAACTGTTAGCACCATTACTTCGAGTGGTCGAAATTCACTTTTGTGAACAATTT